TAGGGTAAAAAGATGTTTCAAATGAAAACCGAGATGACTGCATTAAAATATAAATACAGTAGGCTACAAAGACCTACAGTGAGGGTTAAAAGTATTTGATCTCCTGCTGATTTTGTACGTTTGCCCACTGACAAAGAAATGATCAGTCTATAATTTTAATGGTAGGTTTATTTGAACAGAGAGACAGAATAACAACAAAAAAATCCAGAAAAACGCATGTCAAAAATGTTATAAATTGATTTGCATTTTAATGAGGGAAATAAGTATTTGACCCCTCTGCAAAACAAGACTTAGTACTTGGTGGCAAAACCCTTGTTGGCAATCACAGAGGTCAGACGTTTCTTGTAGTTGGCCACCAGGTTTGCACACATCTCGGGAGGGATTTTGTCCCGCTCCTCTTTGCAGATCTTCGCCAAGTCATTAAGGTTTCGAGGCTGACGTTTGGCAACTCAAACCTTCAGCTCCCTCCACAGATTTTCTATGGGATTAAGGTCTGGAGACTGGCTGGAGAAGAGCTCCGATTTGACGCACCTCCATCGTCCTTGATCGTGCTTCCTTCCCTTGAGACACCCCCTTGTTTCCCTGCCGATGTTTTGGGTCGATTGTTCATGTGGTCATACCCATCCCCCTCCTTCAACCCGGTGAGAGAAGGAGTCCAGACTCCATTTGACGTACTGACCCCGTTCACCCGTCCCTTTGATGCGTTAGTTGTCTGTCCCTTGGCAAAAACCAACCCAAGCAATGTTCCACGTCCATGTTTTGACGGGGGGACCTGGGTCTGTGGTCAGGATTCCTCCTCCTCCAACACGGAGAGTGTGAGTTTTGTGCAAGGCTCCCATTGTTATCATCTGACAGACCTTCCCCGAGTTCCTTCTCACCATTCTCATGATCATTGCAACTCACGATGTAGATTTGCATGAGCCAGGCTGAGGGGAGATTACAGTCTTCAGGTGTGTTTCCTTTTTCCATTTGGGACTATGTCCCCACTGTTGTCACCTTCTCCCCAAGCTGCTTGGCGATGGTCTTGTAGCCCATTCCAGCCTTGTGTAGGTCTACAATTTTGTCCCTGACATCCCTGGAGAGCTCTTTGGTCTTGGCCATGGTGGAGAGTTTGGAATCTGATTGATTGATTGCTTCTGTGGACAGGTGTCTTTTATACAGGTAACAAACTGAGATTAGGAGCCCTCCCTTTAAGAGTGTGCTCCTAATCTCAGCTCGTTACCTGTATAAAGGACACCTGGGAGCCAGAAATCTTTCTGATTGAGAGGGGGTCAAATACTTATTTCCCTCATTAAAATGCAAATCAATTTATAGCATTTTTGACATGCGTTCTTCTGGATTTTTGTTTTGTTATTCTGTCTCTCACTGTTCAAATAAACCTACCATTAAAATTATAGACTGATCATTTCTTTGTCAGTGGGCAAACGTACCAAATCAGCAGGGGATCAAATACTTTTTTCCCCTCACTGTATATATTTCAATCATATTGAAATCAATTTCCTGTTCAATCAGTTGAGTTCTATTTTGCTAATTGTAGGCTACTGTCTGTAATTTCTGCCTCAATTTCATGATGTTTAGGCCTAACATCATGTGCACAATGGGGGGTGAATATCAACAGCTGCTTTACAGTAAGCACATACCACTTCCTGTAAGTGACTCTCAAAGTACTGAACAAGTTGGCTGAGTGAGCCACCCCCAGACCCCCCTCTAGTTTTTTACTTGTTGATGAATACTTCCCACTAAGGGGACCTACGCCAACATCTTTTGGACATCTTTTTTTGGTCCTGTTCGGACCGGCCGTCTTTTTTTGGTGCGGTCCAGACTGGCCTTGATTTTAACGTCCACAGACGGGACTCCCTAAAAAAATACCACTTCTATACAAGTGACTTTTCTTAGCAGATTAGGAGAGCATTTTTGCTAACCCTAACCCTTTTCCTAACTTTAACTGAATTATCCTAGCCTGCTACGTTAATTATCCTAACCTGCTGTGTAAGTTCTCCTAACCTGTTACCAAAAAGTTGTAGCTGCATCAAAGTGGCGTGTTTTTAGAGAATCTCGTCCATGGACGTAGATTTTTGTTCCGTTCCGGACCAAATCTGAACCAATCATAGACATCTATGTTTGGTTCAGATTTGCTCGGATTTGGACTTGATTTGGCCGAAACATACACTTCTATAATTGGTTCAGATTTGGCCCCAAATTTCGGTGGAAACGACTTGGGACACACAAAGGGGACAGCCCTGGTGCATTAGATAAGCGCTGATTTGGAGGTAGTCTGGAAGCGTTCGTCGCAAAATGATTTTGTTCATTCACTCATTACTGATGTAATGTTTATTTCTCTTGCTTGGTTAAAAGACAATAGTCTAAAACAGTTGATTTGTTGAAAGCAGACTAATTTCCTTTTGACTGCGCACAACGGGTCATGCAAGCAAGAAATGATTCTGATGTTGTTGTTCTACCTGGGTGCACTGTGTGCAGCACTCGCACACCCTGACTACTTTTTACCTGTGGATGGCGACTTCAGATCTTCTGGAAACACACTAAAATGTAACTTGACCCTGTGTTGATAAATCAGCACAAATTTGGATTATAATAATGACAAGTATGCCGGACCTGGAATTTATTCTACATGTTTGAAACAGCAATTTTGTCAGTCAAGTCTGGTAAGTTGTCTGATGATGTTAGCATGCATTTGCACACTCAACTGAGTCTCTGTTTACATGTGCGTTTGGGGTTCAACCATTGACTATATGAGGTTTGTTTTCTCGGCTATAGTTTGTGTTGTGGTCTTGGTTGTCCTTAGTGGAGGAAATGTAGCATAGCTAACTGCAGTGTTTGTCCTGTCTGAAATCTGGCTACCTCGTCTTACCATAGCTTGGTCTATGGAATAGCCTACATAGCTAGTTTTGCTATGCCCATTGCATGCATTGTAAGATAGCTAGCTAGCTGTGTGACAGTTTCCCAAAGTTTGGTGTTGGCTTTGAACCTGATTTGAACCTATTTAGCTAGCTAGCTATGTTTTGTGGAAGAATGTAGCTGGGATATGTTATCAACATTGAGTTGTGGTACAATCTTATTGGGGTAACATTGGCTAACTCACTAGCTAGTTCGGTAGTAAACGTAAGCAATGCATCTCATTGATTGTAGCTAGCATTAGCAATGCAAATTAACATGAGCATCGTGGCATTTTCCCAAATGTTGGTGTTTTTAAACTTAACGTAGCTAACGTTAGCTAGCTAGCTACCTAACGTTAGCTGGCTATGTTTTGAGTAAGAAAGTATGATATATTGTGGTGCATGAACTGGCCATTCGCATTAGCTAACGTTACACTCTTACCTTAGCTAATGTTACCTAGCTAACATTTGAGTGGGTGCATGAATGTGGTCCGGAGCCCAATCGATGGAGAGCGTGTTCTACTTACATCAGGTTCAAAATTAGTCAACTTATCTCTTGAGCGTTGCAATGATTGTTCATGAGTGCGTGTCAGATGTTTTCAAAAACAGAAGTGTAAAGTAAATTTGTCTAAATATTCAAATATTACTTGTCTATATATTCGATCATTTTAGCGAATAGGTGATATGTGTCTTTAAGGCAGCAACTAGACCACTTTCTAATTTTAGACCAACAATGTCAATTTGTCAGTTAAATTATCAGGGTGCTAAAAATACCAGGGTGTGACGTCTTCTGACATCATTGTCAAGGGTATTGTAAGATTTACACTGTGGACTTTGCTGGTAGATAAGACACCCGTGGGTCTTCTGAAGACTTTTGTGCAAATTTTTTACTGTGTTTTCATTTCCTTACACAGTATATGCACACCAATGGAAACACACACAGCACGAAGACATACACACACACACACACGTCTTTACACACTGTAGCAATGTAGTGGGCTCCTGAGTGGCGCAGCAGTCTAAGGCACTGCATCTCAGTGCTTGAGGCGTCACTACAGACCCCCTGGTTCGATTCCAGGCTGTATCCCAACCGGCCGTGATTGGGAGTCCCATAGGGCGGCGCACAATTGGCCCAGCGTTCGTCCGGGTTTGGCCGGTGTAGGCCGTCATTGTAAATAAGAATTTGTTCTTAACTGACTTGCCTAGTTAAATAAAGGTTAAAAAAAAAACAGGCTATACAGATAACAGCTGATGTAGTGGATCACAGTGAAGGAACATTGATAAAGACAACAAGATCCAGAAAACACAGTCAACATCTTGGAATGTTGATACAGTACAGTAACTTTGGCACATTTTTTAACCAGAGAATTCCATTTTCACCTTGATTAAAAAATCGTAGTGAATGGTTTGATACATTGAATGGGTGAGTGTGCAACCTCCACTACAGGGCTTTTCTCTAAGAGTACAGTAGGCTGGTGAGGACAGCCATCCCAAGCCCCTAGCCGCGGTGACATGGAGAGAGAAATACTGTAGAGTATATCTGATCTGGGGAGTTAGTGACTGAGAGTCAGGTCTATGTTACTGGAGGGATAAAGAAAGGTTATAGTCATGGAGCCGTGAAATGCATGCACCACAGTGAACATCAGGAGAGAGACACAGTCCCAAAAGGACCAGGCGTAGAAGAAGAGAGGTGGAGAGAAAGAAGGTGGAGAGAAAGAGAACCAGAGAGAAAGACGGCAAGAGCTTGAAATGGAGCCACACACTCTATGACGACCTATGAGCACTGCACAGAGAAGAAAGAAAGAGACAGTCATACCTATTGTTAGCTGTGCAATTCCTAAAAAAAAAATCAAAAGGTGAAAGAGGCATATTTTAGGAGGCCCTGCAATATTCAAATTGTTCATACATTTTTAAAGCCAGAATGGACTGGCAACTAACTGTACTGCAAGATATGAGGATTTCTTTTATAGCTATAATCTCATTATTAATAAGAAATTAAAGTACAATATATCTCCTATCTTGCCAAAAAGAGGAGAAAGTGTGTTCTGTGGGGTATCTGTCTTTGTGTGTTCTACTGTCTGTAACATATTGTAAGTGTTGTGTACCTTCATCCTCTGATACGTCCAATATCTCATCTACTGTTTCTGGGAAACTCATACGATGTTTCTCTGTGGTGGTCTGAGGGAGAGAATGGCAGAAGAGAGAGAAGAGAGACAGGTTCAAGATGAGACAAAGACTGTGGAAGGATTGTCTGCATCGAGTCAGAAGGAGTGTAATATAAATATTTGAAGAGTCGGTACTTGTTTACTCCTTACAATGGAAACCGTCTCCTCGGTGACCAGTTTGAGAACGTCGATTACGGAGATGTACCCCAACCGCTTGGCGATGGACAGGGCTGACGTACCGTTCTAACAGAGAGAGAGAGAGAGTGAGGTGGAGGGATGGAGGGATGAGTGGAGGAGCGAAAGGGAGTGAAAAGCAGTGGTACTTACAGTGGTGACCTCGTTGGGCGGGGCTCCATGTTTGAGCAGTAAGGTGACTATGTCTGTGTGGCCCTGTTGGGCTGCCTGGTGCAGGGCAGTGTAACCAACCTGGGGGACAGAGACACAAACATTAACATACTGACCAGACACAATGAAAATAATCACATCACAAGGCCAGTTCATATTTTCTGTGCTTCACTGTTAAAATTGCAGTATAATTTGGGGTAAGTGTAGTTCCATGTGTGTCCAGAGGGAGGTGCTCACCTTAGTCTTGCTGTTGACGTTGGCCTGCTGCTGCAGGAGGAACTTCACCATCTTTACATTGCCATAGTGACAGGCAACATGGAGAGGGGTGTATCCCATCTGAAAGAGAGATTAAGACCCCATCAGTATCCAATACAACCAGCACACACTTACTAGTAGACAGTTAACTAAACACTGAGTTACATGATTACAAATTCAACACATACACACTACACAATATCTATAGTATGTGTCTCCTTTACCATATATGCTCTACGGTTGATATACTGAGTTTCAGGGTAATGGAGGGCCTAGCTGGCCTGAGGGTAGGTAGGTCATTTAATGATGTTGGTAATGTAACCCTGAGCCAGGAGAACCAGTCAGTGGCTATTTATACTAAGGAGAGGAAAGGTCACGTCTGAGACACTCTATCTGCCATGGAGCCCCCATCGTTCACTATGTAGCACTGTTACTGTTAGGCTCCATACCACACTGACCTTGCATTAAGATTCACTGAGGTTAAGATTAGCTTCAGATAACAATGAACTGTAACAGTGTGTATGTCATGATGAGGCAGGGGTGTGTACCTTATACCAACTCTCTACAACTGGGCAAAAAGAAGGAGTGTTCATGTTGGGTGGAATGCAATTATCTGCTGCAATATCCTATTATCTACTGAGATGCTTTAAAAATAAAAAGTGTTTACAGAGTCCCGAGGTGGTACAGTATGTGTTGCTGGATGCTATTGATCAGAGAGACTGTTGTGTCCCGTGCCTTGTCCCAGAGGTCAACAGGAGTGTGGTCTTACCCTTGTGGCAGCATACACTGATGCCCCCTGCTTCACCAGGATGTCAGCGATGCCCACGTGGCCTTCCTGTGCCACCAGGTGGAGAGGAGTCAGTCCACTCTGAGGGGAGAGGAGCCAGGGGCTAAGGTTAGGCATATTGTTACAGCAGAACTAAACTAACGTCGCAGGCGTAAGAGAAACGCCTGAGCGGGATGCCCCACAATCATGACAAGAAAATAAAAAACTGTCAGGGGAGGTTCTAAGGAGGAGTTAAGATGGAGTGTTGCCTTGTTCATATTCTGGATGGAAACAACTTCAGAGAGCAAACTAGTACATACCATAGATACATAGCTGCTAGCCAGATATTAGCCAGCGTTATCTAGTGATAATGGAATCTCCGACAAAGTTGACAACAACAAAATTGGTACGTGGTGTCTGTCGACTTTGTGGCAAGAACTTCATCTCAAAGAAAGACAGGCACTATCTATAGACATCCGCTATATGTTTCACCGGGGACTGTAAACAGTGAGGCGCACATCCAAAAGCAAAAGTTGTGTCACAGGCTCTCTTCCTTTTCCCCTGTTAGTTCTGCTCCCGACCCGCTGAGGGTGCAGCAGAACTAACAGCTTTCACCCAAATAATCCTAACTACTTCCCTGCATCAGTCCCTGAGGACTCACCTTGTTCCCCAGGTTGACGTTGGCCTGTTTGGAGATGAGCAGGGCTACCATGTCAGGCCGGCCCTCCTGAGCTGCCAGGTGAAGGGGCGTGACCCCCTGGAGGGATTCAGCGTTGGCCGAGGCGCCGTACTGCAGCAGGCTGTTGGCAACCTCCACCTGGTTCTGCTTCGACGCTATATGGAGAGGGGTGTAGCCATTCTGAAACACGAGGACCAGAGAGTTAATGGTTATGAGTGCATTGTAAGATGATATATGTGTGTGTGAGGATGTGTGTGTGTGTAGTCTCTCACCCTAGCTGCGCTGTGTGGGGAGCCTCCCTTGCTGACCAGCAGGTTAACCACGTCCAGGTTGTTGTGATGGACGGCCACATGGAGAGAAGTCAGTCCATTCTAAAGGTAAAGGAGACACACACATTTAAACCGCCATCACTTTACTTTAACATCTTTCCATCTCAAATACCTTGACCCTTCCCTTCCCTCCCCACACCCATGTTCTTCCCTCCTCCCTGTGTTCTCCAACCCTTACTTTGCCAGAAGCATTAGGGTTGGCCCCTCTCTCCAGCAGCAGCTCTGCCACGTCCACTTTGCCATATTTAGAGGCCACATGGAGAGGAGTGAAGCCTTTCTGCAGAGACATCCCAGACAGAGATAGAGAGACATCAGGGAGAGACCACAACAGACCACACAGTCCCACATAGAGAAAATATTTGGAGTGTGTTAGTGTTAGACAGTTGATAGAGGAGTGTGTAAGTAGAGTGTGTGGGCATTGGACAACAGACTGTACCTTGGTCATCTTGGTCTGCTGGGCCTCCATGTCCAGTAGGATGCGTGTGGTCTGAGCGTGTCCCTCGCGGGCAGCGATATGGAGGGGTGTGTGTCCGGCTGTGGTGGTGGAGTTGGGGTTGGCCTTGTGCTCCAGCAACAGCGTGACCAGCTCCTTGTGGCCCATCCGACACGCACAGTGGAGCGGTGTCTGGTCATCCTGGACAGGGCGGAGGAGAGGAGAGAGGGAGGGAAGAGGAGAGATAAATATACATGGGAGTCAAGTGGGGAACTAGCTAGATATATGTGTGTGTAAAGGTGTGTGAAGTCATTACCTTGGCCTTGGCGTCTACTGGTGCTGCATTGGTCAATAAGAACTCTGCCACCTCATAGTGTCCAGCTCTACATGCCATGTGGAGAGGAGTCTCCACTTTCTGCTCACACACAATCAGACAAACACGTGTGTGAGCAATGTAAATCAGACAGAGGAGCTGGTTCAGTCAGTAATGAGGTGGGTGGATGGGTAACATTCGGGTACTCACCACATTGGAAGCACTGGGAGAAGCCCCCTTCTGTACCAGATGGGTGACTATTTTGCGGTGGCCCATGAACGAGGCCACGTGTAGAGGAGTCAGGCCAGACTGGGGAGAGAAAAAACAGGCAATGAAAGAATCATACACAGACAAAAAGATCCATCCCTCTCTCCTTGGCAGAATCCCTCTCTTTTTTTCCCCTAGCTTACATTTCATCTCATTCTCTCACCCCTATCTCTCTCACCTCTGTAACAGCCTCTAGGGAAGCTGAGTGTTTCAGCAGGTGGTCCATCACACGCATGTGGTTCTTCTTACAGGCGATGTGAAGCGGAGTGAAACCATTCTGAGAACACAATACAACAGCATGGTCACTAAGGCACACACTTCAACAAGTTGTGTGGTAGGTATGTGTGGTAGGTATGTATGAGTGCAGTACTGACCAGTGCACGGGAGTTGGGTTTGGCTCCCTTGTCCAGCAGCACTTTGGCCATGCGGTGGTGCCCACAGTGGGCTGCCACATGCAGGGGGGTCAGGTGGTCCAGTGTGATGTCATCAATCTCAGCATTGTATTGCAGGAGTTGTCTCACACAGTCCATGTGATCCCCCTGTGCTGACATGTGGATGGGAGACAGGCCGTTCTGTAGGAGGAGAGAGAGAGAGAGAGAGAGAGGAGAGAGAGAGAGAGAGAGAGAGAGAGAGAGAGAGAGAGAGAGAGAGAGAGAGAGAGAGAGAGAGAGAGAGAGAGAGAGAGCGAGAGAGGAGAGAGAGAGAGAGAGAGAGAGAGAGAGAGAGAGAGAGAGAGAGAGAGAGAGAGAGAGAGAGAGAGGCAATCTATTACTTATTGTGTTGTGTGCATACAGTATTTGAGAACAACAGTCCAGAGATCAGGCCTTGGTGGGTTAGCATTAGGTGTACCTTGGTCTTGGCCTGGATGGGAGCCCCTTGGTCCAGTAGGATCTCAATGATCCTCACGTGTCCGTTCCTGGCTGCACAGTGCAGTGGAGTCAACTCATCCTGGGAGGGAGGGAGAGAGAGAGTGTGAGAGTGAGAGCGAGAGAGTCAACACCTGGTCTGGGAAAATATAGCACTGTATGTGTAACAGGAAAGGGCCTGACCAGATGAGGTAGAGACTAGAGAGAGACACAGGGAGGGGATGCAGTACATTACCTTGGTCTTGGCATCAATCTGTGCCCCTCGGTCCAGCAGGAGTCGTACCATGATCACGTTCCCCCGCCTGGATGCGATGTGCAAAGGTGTGATGCCATTCTAGAGAGAAATACAGACACACACATTAAGTAGGGGATCGACAGTAAGACCAGAAAGAGACCAGTGAGGGACTGGTAACAATACTATGTGTCAGTGATACTAGAGCAGAGGGGAACAGACATACCTTAGGGGTGAAATTGACATTGGCTCCTCTGTTGAGCAACAGTTGGGCTACGTTCAGGTTCTCGTAGTGTGCAGCGATATGGAGCGGTGTGAAGCCTGTCTATAGGGACACACAGGAGACCATACCTTATTCTATACAGCTCTAATACTGATGGCCTCTAATTCTACAAGTATCATCTTCACTCACTGTGGCACACACTAAACTAAAGTTTCTCACAAAAGTGAAGACTAACACACAAACACACAGTGAGTACCTACCTTGCTCAGGACGTCTGCGTTAGGGTCATTCTGTAGAAGCACGGCAGCTGTGCGCGTGTCATCGTTACGTGCCGCTATGTGCAGCGCGGGGAGACGGACTTTTCCCTTGGTGCCATAATTGATGAGCAGGGCAACGACGTTCTCATGTCCCTGCTGAAGAGCCACGGCGAGAGGGGTGAAACCATCCTGACAGAGGAGAGAGGAGAGGGGACAGAGGTCAAGAAAGGTTAAGTGACCTAAAGAAACAGATGGAGAAGGGAAGGCCAGTGAGAGTCCAAATGATTGATAAGTGATGGAGGGAATAGTGCAGGAGGTGTAGTGTAAAGTTAGAGATGGAATAATTTCCTGCTTATTCCTTCCTGATTCCGGGAATCTTCCAACCCTATGCTCTGCTGATTGGCTGTTACCTCAGTGGGAAGGCTTTGATTGGCCCCGTTCTCCAAAAGGAACTTCACAACTTCTAGATGATTCTCTTGTGCGGCCATGTAGAGCGGAGTGAAACCCTTCTGTTACAGACAGACACATACATGGACACACACACACAGGGAGGGGCACAACACAGCAGCACCACACACACACACATGCACACACACACACACACACACACACACACACACACAGAGGAAGGAAGCACAGGCACACAAAAAGACAAGAAGGCAGACAGATATTAACATAGATTTGCATTGAGCTAATACACACTTAGAAAAAAAGGTTCCGAAAGGGTTCTTCGGCTGTCCCCATGGGAGAACCCTTTTTGCTTCCACTTAGAACCCTTTTTGGTTCCAGGTAGAACTCTTTTGGTTTCTACCTGGAACCAAAAAGGGTTCTTCAAATGGTTCTCCAATGAGGACAGCAGAAGAACCCTTTTAGGCTGTAGATATACCCTTTTTTTGTAAGAGTGTATGATGGCCTAACATCATGTTTCATTCAGGGGTTGGGCCAAATGCAGGAGCTTATGCACACCCAAAAATGTTAGTAGAGGTGCTGACTAACGGAATAGTAAACTGAAACTGTGTAAAAATAAAGAAAGTTGCACACTCTATAAATGCTCCCAACAACTTCCTTTATTCTTACTCAATCAGGGTTGGGGTCAATTCTGAATTGAATTGCAAATTGCTCCTTAATTAGGCGTCCTAGCACCTAAGGCGCAAGAAATATATAGTTTTTTCTGTGTTCTTCTAGTTCTTTCTGCGTTTTTTATGGGGTCAATTTCACACTTTAAGTATTGAATTCAAAATAAAATAAATTGTAAAAATTACAAATAAAGTTGACAATTTAAAAATAATAAGTTAAATAAACAAAAACTCGAAAGCAAAATTTATAGAATTTAACAAAAAATATTGATATCAAAAGAAGAAAAAAAACTTGCAAGCAAACAGTTTTAAAGCGAGAGCAAAACTCTTAATTTAAAAGCAAGAACAAATGATTTTCAAATTATTGCAACCAACCCTCTAATTCTCCCCTCTCTCTCTCTCTCTCTCTCTCTCTCTCTCTCTCTCTCTCTCTCTCTCTCTCTCTCTCTCTCTCTCCCTCACCTGCTGTCTCGACCTCTAAATGTTCGGCTATGAAAAGCCAACTGACATTTACTCCTGAGGTGCTGACCTGTTGCACCCTCTACAACCACTGTGATTGTTATTTGACCCTGCTGGTCATCTACAGTGGGGAAAATAAATAATAATAATAATATGCCATTTAGCAGACGCTTTTATCCAAAGCGACTTACAGTCATGCGTGCATAATTTTTTTGTGTGTATATAAGTATATAAGTATTTAGTCAGCCACCAATTGTGCAAGTTCTCCCACTTAAAAAGATGAGAGAGGCCTGTAATTTTCATCATAGGTACACGTCAACTATGACAGACAAAATGAGAATTTTTTTTGCAGAAAATCACATTGTAGGATTTTTTATGAATTTATTTGCAAATTATGGTGGAAAATAAGTATTTGGTCAATAACAAAAGTTTCTCAATACTTTGTTATATACCCTTTGTTGGCAATGACACAGGTCAAACGTTTTCTGTAAGTCTTCACAAGGTTTTCACACACTGTTGCTGGTATTTTGGCCCATTCCTCTATGCAGATCTCCTCTAGAGCAGTGATGTTTTGGGGCTGTCGCTGGGCAACACGGACTTTCAACTCCCTCCAAAGATTTTCTATGGGGTTGAGATCTGGAGACTGGCTAGGCCACTCCAGGACCTTGAAATGCTTCTTACGAAGCCACTCCTTCGTTGCCCGGGCGGTGTGTTTGGGATCATTGTCATGCTGAAAGACCCAGCCACGTTTCATCTTCAATGCCCTTGCTGATGGAAGGAGGTTTTCACTCAAAATCTCACGATACATGGTCCCATTCATTCTTTCCTTTACACGGATCAGTCGTCCTGGTCCATTTGCAGAAAAACAGCCCCAAAGCATGATGTTTCCACCCCAATGCTTCACAGTAGGTATGGTGTTCTTTGGATGCAACTCAGCATTCTTTGTCCTCCAAACACGACGAGTTGAGTTTTTACCAAAAAGTAATATTTTGGTTTCATATGACATTCTCCCAATCCTCTTCTGGATCATCCAAATGCACTCTAGCAAACTTCAGACAGGCCTGGACATGTACTGGCTTAAGCAGGGGGACACGTCTGGCACTGCAGGATTTTAGTCCCTGGCGGCGTAGTGTGTTACTAATGGTAGGCTTTGTTACTTTGGTCCCAGCTCTCTGCAGGTCATTCACTAGGTCCCCCTGTGTGGTTCAGGATTTTTGCTCACCGTTCTTGTGATCATTTTGACCCCACGGGGTGAGATCTTGCGTGGAGCCCCAGATCGTGGGAGATTATCAGTGGTCTTGTATGTCTTCCATTTCCTAATAATTGCTCCCACAGTTGATTTCTTCAAACCAAGCTGCTTACCTATTGCAGATTCAGTCTTCCCAGCCTGGTGCAGGTCTACAATTTTGTTTCTGGTGTCCTTTGACAGCTCTTTGGTCTTGGCCATAGTGGAGTTTGGAGTGTGACTGTTTGAGGTTGTGGACAGGTGTCTTTTATACTGATAACAAGTTCAAACAGGTGCCATTAATACAGGTAACGAGTGGAGGACAGAGGAGCCTCTTAAATAAGAAGTTACAGGTCTGTGAGAGCCAGAAATCTTGCTTGTTTGTCGGTGACCAAATACTTATTTTCCACCATAATTTGCAAATAAATTCATTAAAAATCCTACAATGTGATATTCTGGATGTTTTTTCCTCAATTTGTCTGTCATAGTTGATGTGTACGTATAATGAAAATTACAGGCCTCTCTCATCTTTTTAAGTGGGAGAACTTGCACAATTGGTGGCTGACTAAATACTTTTTTTCCCCACTGTATAAATGTTTTAACATCTTGAAGAACAATCTGGCCTTAATGGCCATGTACTCTTATAATCTCCACCCGGCACAACCAGAAGAGGACTGGCCACCTCTCCGAGCCTGGTTCCTCTCTAGGTTTCTTCCTAGGTTCCTGCCTTTCTAGGGAGTTTTACCTAGCCACTTTCACATCTGCATTGCTTGCTGATTGAGGTTTTACATTTACATTTACGTAATTTAGCAGACGCTCTTTAGTAGACGCGACTTACAAATTGGTGCATTCAACTTATGATAGCCAGTGGGACAACCACTTTTTAATTTTTTTATGGGGGGAAGAATGATTACTTTTATACTATTCCAGGTATTCCTTAAAGAGGTAGGGTTTCAAGTGTCTCCGGAAGGTGGTCAGTGACTCCGCTGTCCTGGCATCGTAGGCTGGGTTTCTGATGTAAAAGGGGCTTTAACTGAAAAGTATTTTTGCATTGGTTTTCAAATAATTTATTGCTTCTAAATGGAGAGTTTTGCTCTCGCTTTAAAAGTATTTGTTTGCATTTTATTTTGTTACTTTTGATATCATTATTTTTGTGCCATTAAACCCCTACAACTCATCCAGAACGCCGCAGCCCGTCTGGTGTTCAACCTTCCCAAGTTCTGTCACGTCACCCCGCTCCTCCGCACACTCCACTGGCTTCCAGTTGAATCTCGCATGGTGCTTGCCTACGGAGCTGTGAGGGGAACGGCACCTACGTACCTTCAGGCTCTGATCAATCCCTACACCCAAACGAGGGCATTGCGTTCTTCCACCTCTGGCCTGCTGGCCCCCCTACCTCTGCGGAAGCACAATTCCCGCTCAGCCCAGTCAAAACTGTTCGCTGCTCTGGCACCCCAATGATGGAACAAGCTCCCTCACAACGCCAGGACAGCGGAGTCACTCACCACCTTCCGGAGACACTTGAAACCCCACCTCTTTAAGGAATACCTGGGATAGGATAAAGTAATACTTTTACCCCCCCCCAAAAAAAAAAAAGTGGTTGTCCCACTGGCTATCATAAGGTGAATGCACCAATTTGTAAGTCGCTCTGGATAAGAGCGTCTGCTAAATGACGAAAATGTAATGTAAATGTTGTTTACAATTCTACATATTTTGATTTTCTGTTTTCTATCTACATTTTCAACTTTATGTTTAACATTTATTTCATTTTGAATTCAATACTTAAGGCATGAAATTGACCCCATAGTTGTTCCTTTTGGTCAATATCTCAACCAAACATTGTAGAATTTGGCAGGATGGTAGAACCCATAATGCGTACCTATGGTGCCAACATTAGCACTCATTGGCCCCTAGGTGGCGCTACAGTTCATTAAAAATCATGCACACATTCAAAACACATTCAAAACATTAGCCCAAACTATCAAATCCAACTCGTACAGATGATTGACAACATGTCCCTGAAGATTTGTTCCAAGTTTAGTGTTGATACCTAAAAAAACATGGAAACCACAGGTCATCAAACTTTGACCAAAAAGTGCTAGCGTAATGCTAATGCTAAATTGCTTATTATTCTCATGAACCACAACTCAGAATCACTCAATATTTGGTATGTACAATCTATGAACAAGTCCCTAACTAAATTGTGAAGGAAAAGTCGCTGCATTCCAATATGGCCATTATACGCCAGTGGAGGGCACTACGGTGCACTGAAGGCTATTACCATTGAACCGTAGGAATTTGGTAAACATGAAGTTGGAAGGGACAGTACTCTATGGCAGTAGCATGGTAGCATGTATTAGACATAACTCATCTCATATTAGAGGTAGAATCTTGCAACTTGGAAAACATGCAATTGGTAAACGTGCTTAAAGGTATGGCCTTTGCCCATTTCATTGCCAGAGTGCCCAATGGGTGACCAATAGGTACTATTTCTATTGCTCAGACCCTGTTAATGCTGCTCGTGATGCTGCTCACAGCTATATTTCCAATTCAATTATCTAATTTTAATTGAATTTAATTGGCCACCTACCACAGGCAGCAGAAATGTAATTGAATTTGAACTAAAGGAAGTACAATTTAATTAAATGAAATGCTAATTGCTAATATATTTTACCATTCACTATACAAATATTTATTTTGACAGCATGTATGGTAATACTATGTATAACATTGAAACATTTCATTTTTAAAATTCCTCTTAAAACGAGTTTTATATCAATACAGTGGTCTGGAAGTATTCTAAGATCATTTTGTAGTTTGTCTGTAATAATTCATAATTCACTTACATGTTATGAAATATTTGAAAAAATACATTTCCCATTAGATCAAACACTCCAGAATGGAAGGGAACCTAACATTTCATGACAAAAATACAAATCAAAATACTGTTTGAGTTTTTTTCAAGCTTATGTTTGAAATGGTATCTATATTTGTTTTAGTAATAAGTGGCAGATGTGGCAACGGAATGAGACTTTCATGTTTCATGTCTCAGTTGAATTTCTTTGAATTAATCTCTACTTTCTTTAATTCAAATTCAAATTTCAATTCATGATTTGAATTGAAATACATTCAGAAATTCAGACCCCAAACCCTGAGTTCCATGCAGTATAATGCAGCATAACTGTATTATAACTGTTTCTAACTGTATGGTTATCCGTTGTGGCGAGTGGCTCCTCTGCAGGGGGCTCTGCCAGGGGTGTCGGGGTCTCTTCCGACACTGGCTGGGGTCTCACCTGGGACTGGGCATTGATGTTGGCCCCGTAATTTACCAGCTCTGCCACCACTTGCTCCTGCCCAGCCAGGGCAGCGATGTGCAGAGCTGTGTTGCCTTTCTGTGGAGGCACAGGACAAGAGAAGACATGAGACATATAGTAGTGTCTGTGTGAAAGCAGTAAGTAAGTAGTAGTAAGCTTTAATATGTAGAATAATTTGATTATTCAATATATTGTACTTTGGTGGGGTCATAGCCTTAAGGAGTACATGGGTGTGGTAATGTGGCATAGTGCATGAGGTTGTGTGAGTACCTTAGTCTGGGTTTCCACATCGATGCCTCCATGTAGTAGCTCCAGCACCATTTTAACGTGGCCTTCTTTAGAGGCCAGATGCAACCCGTTGAGCCCATTCTGAGGGAGGAGAGAGAGAAGAGGAGACCTCACACTGTAGGGTCCCTAACACACTGAACACACTAAACACACTGCATACTGACACACACCAAAGGATCAGATCCTCAGACCAGCACTGCTCTGCTTATTATACAGCACTTGCTAGATGTAGAAAATGCGAAAGCATGTTACTGAGCCCAACTGTACCTTATGGTCAGGACAAACAGCCTCAACACATACAGCATCTACCAGATATTAACAGTGCTTATTTAGCAATAATGGTGACCGGAATGATGATGATGAAGATGATGATGATGATGGTGAGGAGGAGGAGGAAGAGGACGGGAGGGGGATGGCAGGCCGGTGGTCTCGGGGCTGGGAAGAATACGAGCCGTGTGGGATAGGTCTGACCTCACACAGCCTTCCTTCAGCCACACAGGACATGTGAGGTTGGACCTTTCCCACACCACTGATATTATTCCTCTGAGTGGAGAGACCACAGCACACCATCACTCTACTGCAGATCGGGAGAGGGGGAGGGGAGCATAGATGAGAAAGAAGAACAGGTAAAAGGAAGAAGGAATGACGCAAAAGAAGAAGAGAGAGTAAGAGAGAAATAACTTAAGGGGTTAAGAGGGTGTGAGGAGAGGAGGGTTGAGGGGAAGGAATGGAGGGAGGGGAGGGAGAGAGGCAGTGCGGCTGGGTGGCCGGTGAGCTAGCCCATGGCAAAGGTATCTACTCAGACTGGGTACGAGAGACACGACTGCCACAGCCTCCACCGAACCTCCATCAGGCTGACACCGCACTAACAAATACAACAACAATACACTGGGTGACACTCACTACTCACACACAACCAATATCACGTCCAATTCCACAACCACACTCAACACACTTGACACAATTCAAAAACACTAATACGGACTTGGTTTGAAATGACACACATTGCATTAATTCATACATGATTTGAAGAAGAATGGCATGAGTCTGGCTGTCGATGGCACCCTGAGACCGCAGATAAACTGTTCTGGTATGTCTGTAGTGTTCCTGTTTGTCCACAGGGTGTCTCTCTAGCAGCCTGAGGTCTTTCTACTTCTACTTAATCATACAATTACAAATAATTATACAAACATAATATAGTACACATAAATACATTCACTGATTGTATTGACTACATTCACTGTATGTATTGAATCCTATGTTCATGAGCTTTAAAGCTGGGAATGTGCTTGATGCTAATCTTGATTGTAGCATTAGCGCAGGCAGTATAAGAGTAGAGAGGTAGAGTGTTAATTGCAAACACACACACACAAACTCTGCCTTTTTTTTATGGCGTGTGGGCAGCCCCATTCCCCTCGCGGCGTGGCCGTTTCTGGCCACCATGGGAGCAGCCGTCAGAGTAAAGCAGGCAGGATGGAGGAGAAGGGCCAGAAGAGTAATTCCTGCCCCATTTAACACCTCCCCATCAGTCCCCCTCAGCCCTACCTGTCAACTGCTGCTGGGAGACTGGCTACTCGGGCCTCCAAACACTCTCTCACACACACACACAAACACACACACACACACATATTGCACACACTGAAATCTAACACACAAAAATAAACACATTCAGTAATTTCCATTCAACACAAATAACACATTCAACACAAACAATGATATACCGTACATGCAGTCAGGGACAATCCACACAGTAGGTATTGGAGCAGAACAGAACACACTGTACACTGAGTTAGACCCAGAGCCAAGACAGACATTCTGCTTGCTGATATCACATCAAACACATTCCAAGCCAAAGCTCTCACTGAGAGACAGAGAGAGAGACGATGAATGTGTCTCAAATGGCACCCTATTCCCTATGTAGTGCTATGGGCCCTGGTCAAAAGTAGTGCATTATTTAGGGAATATTGTGCCATTTGGGATGCACTCAATCACCTCATTCCAATAGAGAGGGGATCATTACAGCCATCTCACAGTAACACTCAGCATTTTATCTACATAAGGGTTTCTTAGATTGCTTCTGAAACATGTGTTTGTGGGATACCCTACACTGACTAGACTAGTGTTAGCCAGTGACTATTCTTTCCTCTCTCTCTTGCCATTTCTCACTCTTCCATATTTTCTCTTTCCCATCTGAACCTTGCTGATATGACTCTTCCCGTGTTTGTGTGTGTGTGTGCTGTTGTTTTGTGCTTGCGCAGTATGAAATATCTTTATTTGATCTGCTGTACCTTTACAGTAGTTAACTTATTTTCTTACGTGTATTCATGCATTATTCTAGCTCTGCAGTATGATGATGCAACACTGTGAAATACTATTTCCACAGCCAATGTAAATGGACAAATTAAATTAAAGACTGTAATAAATCAGCTCCATTAACTGATTATGAAACTTTGACAAACAGGAAAGCTTTGATTGGTCCTCCTGGTAAATCCAAAATGCATCTCAGAGTTTAGGGACATGCACTGATGCACTCTCTAAAAGCATTTTGATTGGCTACTGGGCTTTGCAGCTCTCTCACCTGATTGGCTGTGTTGATGTCTATGCCATTCTTTATGTGATCAATGGCCTTGTCCATGTTACCAGAACGAGCCGCCCGGAGAAAACTACTGACAGCATCAGCCTGAAAGAAAGAAAGGCAGGGATAGAGGGGGGTGGGGGGTGAACAGAGGCACATAGAGTGGTAGAGGGACAGATAGGCGTAAAAAGGGAAGACAGAGAGGGGGATGGAGAGAGATTTCTATTATTGTCAGAAACATCATTCAAATCAAAACCACACAATGTCAAAGATACACGGACAGGACGAGACTATCAACGCTTTCCATTGGTGTTTTCCTCTTCTTCCTCCTCACTGTTATTGAACAGGATAGGACATATGGCCCAGCCCCCTCCCATTGGCCAATCAGAGCCAGGCCTGGCAGGGTGGGGACCCTAGAGGAGAGGGTGCAGGTGATTGGCGTCCATATAAAGACAGACAGAGCCTCTGTCCCAGGCTCCATCCCCGTCGCCTCTGACTCCCTAAATCATCTGCATCCCAAATGGCACCCTATTCCCAACATAAGGCTGGTGGCTTCTGGTGTGTGTCTGCTCTGCTCTGCTGCCCAGGGGTCTGGCTGGTGGTCTGGCTGGCGGTCTGGCTGGCGGTCTGGGGTGGCGTGTGTGTTTAGTGAATGCTCTGGCTAATGGTCTAGCACATGGTGTGGCTTTGTTTTTGTCTCTGTTTTGTTTGTGTTTGGGGGCTTCATGCCTCTCTCAGGCAGGGGTGCTGAAACAGGACCACTCATGCGGCACGAGGGAGAGGGAGAGAGCGAGAGAGGGACATGGGGAGAGAGGAAGAGAGAGAGAGGGACATGGGGAGAGAGAGGGAGGGAGAGGAAGGGAGATGGAGAGAGAGAAAGAGAAGGGGGAGGGAGAGAGAGAGAGGGAGGGAGAGAGAGAGAGGGGGAGAGAGAGAGGGGGAGAGAGAGTCTGCTGCGGCAAACCATCCTTGCCCCACCATTAGTCTCTCTCATTCTATCTATCTACATTATCTATCTCTATCAATTATTCTCACACTCCTCAGGAGCACTCATTACTAATTTTCAGAATTACAAACACACACACACACACATTTACACATAGGCTATGCTCAGAAACAAAAACAGACAGACACACCCATACCAACCCAAGCAAATGCGACCACACACATAGTGACTCAAAAATGTGTTCAACACAAGTTACACAACACACACAGTCACAGTGACATTGATGTTGGCCCCCATTCAGCTATGAGTGGAACACTGGCCCTCTTTTCAGGCAGTGGTAACAGAGAGAATGAAGACCCACATGCCCAAGCTGTGGGCATGGCAACTTATGATACAAACCATCACCCATCAACAGAGCACTAGTGCAAATGGTGCAGCACTGCGCAAAGAAAAGGACTGCTTAAAAAAAGAGTGAGAGGGAGGGAAAGAGATGGCATGATTGATAAAGAGAAGAGGAAAAAGAACGAAAGGGAAAGCTATTTCCAGCTGCCTGCAGCAGAAAATCTTTCAGAGCATTTCCCTGTAACAGACCGATAGACCTTGATAGCTGAGCCGCTAGCTAGCAGCACGCTAACTCCACACAGCCTGAGCACACACAACACTCACCACTTATCTCTCAGCCACGAGAGATTCATCAAGTACTGGGTCAGACCCCCCTTTGCCTCCAGAACAGCCTGAATTATTGGTGGCATTCTACAAGGTATCGGAAACGTTCCACAGACATGTTGCTCCATGCTGACGTGATGACATCACGCAGTTGATGCAGATTGGACGGCGGTACATTCATGCTGCGAACAGCCCATTCCATCTCATCCCAAAGATGCTCTATTGGGTTGAGGTCTGGGGACTGCGTAGGCCACTCAAGTAAACTGAACTCGATGTCATGTTCCAGGCAATGTTTTTCCACTCCTCAATTGTCCAGTGTTGGTGATCGTGTGCCCACTGGAGCCGGTTCTTCTTGTTTTTAGCTGATAGTAGTGGAACCCGATGTGGTCGTCTGCTGCAATAGCCCATCCGTGACAAGGATCGACGAGTTGTGCGTTCCGAGATGCCGTTCTGCACACCATTGTTGTACTGCGCCTTTATTTGTCTATTTGTGGCCTGCCTGTGATCTTGCACGATTCTTGCCATTCTCCTTTGACCGCTCTCATCAACGAGCTGTTTTCGCCGACAAGTCTGCTTTATATAGCAAGCCACGGCCATGTGACTCACTGTCTGTCTGTAGGAGCAATCAATTTTCGTGAATGGGGTGGTGTACCTAATAAACTGGCCGGTGAGTGTTTATATGTTTTATTGTCACATTCACCAGATAGGTGCAGTGAAATGTGTTGTTTTACAGGGTTAAGTGCTTTGCTCAACAGCACAGCGATAGATTTTTCACCTTGTCAGCTCGGGTTTTCGAACCAGCAACTTTTTGGTTACCTTTCTAACTTAGGATCTCCTGTTTACTAGACAGGCGCTTTAACCAATTAAGCCACAGCTTACCTGTTCCTTAAAAGTATTGCCTATACTTAACTCCTTAACTATCTCCTTAACTCTCTCCTTAACTACCTCCTTAACTACCTCCTTATCTCGCTCCTTAACTACCTTCTTAACCGTCTCCCTAACTCTCTCCTTAACTCTCTCCTTAACTCTCTTCTTAACTATCTTCTTAACTCTCTCCTTAACTCCCACCTTAACTCTCTCCTTAACTGCCTCCTTAACTGCCTCCTTAACTACCTTCTTAACTCTCTCCTTAACTTTCTCCTTAACTCTCTCCTTAACTCTCTCCTTAACTTTCTCCTTAACTCTCTCCTTAACTTACTCCTTAACTCTCTCCTTAACTCTCTCCTTAACTACCTCTTTAACTCACTACTTAACTCTTTCTCTCCGTCTGTCAACACCTTTCTTCACACTGTCACTCTGGAAACTCTATACATGTATTAGACCTTTGCTTTCTCCTGTACAAGACCTTGAACTATGCACATACTCACACAGACATGCACATACACATGTTGAAAACGTATAAAGACTTACTCACACACTGTTCTTCCATACACACTAAAGAGGGTTTGTGTTTACTAAAAGTTGTTTTGATCAACTTCTGTCCAATGTGGAAAGTTAAGGCTGAAACACAGTCCTCTTGGAGTGAACACCAAACAGCACTTAGCATTTTGTTAGCACTTAGCAGCTAGTTATCTAATATATAGAAGGTACACAACAACACTGTAGGGTTGCGTAAGCAGCCCTTCCTCAGTTACTCACAGTGACAGAGTTGTCCTGGTCAGCCATGGCCTCTCTCTTCTCTCTCCTTTCCTCTCATACTCTGTCTCTCCAACTCGTCCACTGTGAGAAAGGCGATAGCACCCAAATCCCCTCCCTCCAGCCTGCTTCACGACAACAAACTGACTCCCTAGTACTACTCAATCACTCTCCCTGTTGTACCCACATACAGAGATACACACACCCACCTGTTACCAGGGTTAAACTTACCGTGGTGGGGTACCCTCCTGACAGAAATAGATACTCATATAGTGGATGTGTGTGTGTGTGTGCACAGATGTCTAGAAACCTACTTAGCTTCAAATAGATGCTGCCCACACACGATGCATAGGGTCGCTTCACATTCCACCAAAGACTGTGCACAGCTGGTCAGAGTGTAATTTGGTTGTCTTTCTAGTTGATGGTGTGTGTTTGTGTGTGCAGTCACTGCCATGGTGACTCAGAGAACATCTTTTCTCCACAGTTCAAGCAAAGACAGCTGATGACACACACACACAGGCCAAGCGGGAGAGCATATGTGGATAACCAGTATGGGGTGGCATGGTAACGCCATGGTGAACCCCACTGAGGCCTCCATAGTTGGCTCACCACCACCCAATCTCTGACCACCCCCACTGCACCCCTTAGCCAACCCCCACCCCCCACCCCCTAGCCCCTAGCCCCTAGCCCCTAGCCCCCACCCCCCACCCCCTAGCCCCTAGCCCCTAGCCCCTAGCCCCTAGCCCCTAGCCCCTAGCCCCTAGCCCCTAGCCCCTAGCCCCTAGCCCCTAGCCCCTAGCCCCTAGCCCCTAGCCCCTAGCCTACCCCAACCCTGGGCCTGCAGTTCCACCTCTCCTGGAGTTAGAGGGAGATCAAAGCCTGACCAGCACTGCATTACAGAGTAGAGAAGTAGTGGGGAAATGATGTACCTGTTAAGGGCAAGAGTAGGTGAAGTATTTAAAGATGCTTAATGTTCACGCACGCACACACACACACACACACCCACACACATTAGCCTCCTTTGAAATGCACTCCTACAAAGTGGACATCTGGCACCTTCCCCTAGGTCAGCCAAAGTTCAGAAGTCAGAGGGTCATTTTAGCACAGGAAGAGTGCAGATGTCTGACATGACCTATCCCTGCAGTGGACAGACTGGACAGAGCACTAACGGGAGCCTTCCTTTTTCAGTTCAATAACTTGGAGAACCATGAAATGTCAATGACGATTTTGGATAAATGTAAGAGACACAAGACGTTGTGCACATTTGTAATGTTCAGTACAGTGTGTTTATGTTGGTGTGAGTTCAGTTTATAATACTGTGTGATAGTGTGGACTGTAGTGGTGTGTGTTAGTGAGAGGTAAGTGTGTGGTGCAGCCAGATAAGGGTAGAAGGGGCACTTTGTAGGCCACACCCAAACCCTGCATGCCAGGCTTACGCAGTCACCCTACTCTCAGTGTAAACATGCACACTTTCACTCACTCACTAGCCTGCCTATCCCTCTCCCCCTCTCTCTTACACACAAACCATGTACAAACAGACAAACGCAGCAGCCTGAAATCCTTTCATGCCTTGTAAATCCTCATGCTAATCTTAACTAACCCAGTGTGATGGAGATGGATGTGGGTCTAGCTCCTAGAAGCCCCAGAGAGAGGACAGTGCTATGTGGTGGGGCTGGCTGGGGTTAGTAGAGCCACATCATAAATCACCCTCAACTGTTACTGTACTGTATGGAAGGAGAGACAATAAGCTGCAGCGTGTCATCATTAGCATCACATCACTGTAGCGCTATGGGGTATCCCATTGTCCTCAGGCTCTGTCCACTGTACCTCTGTCGCTTTCTCTTTAATCCTCACATTCTTCCCTTATCACATTTGACTAATTCTACCCTGCCTTCCTTTATTTTCCTTTGTTCATCCCTGTCTCATATAATCCTTGTTCAATCCCTCTCCTCTTTTCCCCCCTCCATTTTCCCTCTCCTCTCAATGCTCTCTCTCTCTCTCTCTCTCTCTCTCTCTCTCTCTCTCTCTTCTCTCTCTCTCTCTCTCTCTCTCTCTCTCTCTCTCTCTCCTCTTCCCACCTCTCTCTTTCCTTCTCTCCCTCCCTCTCTCGTGCTGGTGCTGCGGCAGACATGATGACATCACTGCCTAGCTGGTGTACTGCAGTGTGAGAGTTTGTGTGTGTTTGTCTGTAAGAGAGTCTGTGTGTGCGTGTGTGTGCGTGTGTGTTATGCGTTCGTGTATGTGAGTGTGTTTTTGTTTCTTATGAGTCCCAGTTGTAGTGTCAACAGTAAGGGATAACTGTCTCTCAGTATCTAAGTAGGTGTTAAACCTGACAGAGACCAGGGGATAACCGAGGCACAAATGTCTCTGTGTGTGTTTGATGACACGCTTTAAACAGTGACGGTTCTACTTTAAGCCCTGGATGACAGGACAATGTGAGGTTGCGGCTGGGATAGGAAAAGGAGGAACAGTGCATGGAGGCATGAGCTGCCTGGTTTCAGGATCTTGCTCCCCCAGGGAGAGTCACAGGGCTGGGCCATTGATCTTGAGGAAACCTCTCGTCCTCTGATCCCTATGGACCTGTGTGTGAGGCTGACCCAGGCAGCTAACCATTAACCTGCAATGAAACGGATGCAGAAACCAGCGCTGAGTCTGCACTACGCATAGCCTGAAGTACACAGCTCACCGTCAACACTGTGATAGATGCATTATTGAGAATGAATGCATGTTTATAACACACACACACACACACACAATCCCCTCTCCATAAGCAAATGGCACACTAAGACTTTGCAGGCACAGCACCAGGTGCAAATCATAAATATTTGAGATGCCACCCCAGCTATTTGTGCACCCAGCAGTAAGGTGCAAATAAGGGGTTTTACGTGCAGTTTATGACAAGATGGTATCCTGCACATATAGTACAGCTACATCATGCTATCTAGGGCCACAGCATAGCTACATTGGATATGGAAATTCCTGTGGAGATGTCTTAAACAGCTATTCCATTTCCCTTTTCTGCTGACTTGCATTTGTTCTGGAAATTGATTTTCTTTCCATCTTTCACCTTTCTCCATCCATCCATCCCCCCATCTCTCTGTCTGTTTGAGCTAGCTAGCTGCAGAGTGAAGGTGTTGTTTCCGGTCAGGGTGGTGGTGTTGTGGTGAGGAGCCAGTCAGACAGAGACCCCCAGGGACTCTACTCTGGACACACTTACAGGAACCAGCCTAGTCAAGAAATTACAACCACTCACTCAACACAGTCTGTCTGTCTGTCTGTTTGCGTCTGTGTCTGTGTCTGTGTCTGTGTCTGTGTCTGTGTCTGTTTCTGTGTCTCTGTCTGTCTGTCTGTCTGTCTGTCTGTCTGTCTGCCTGCTTCAGCCTATATTTCCCTCTCCTTTTGACTGTTTACTTTCTCACATTTTCTATCTCTCTTTCTGTTTCTGTGTTCCTGTCTGTCTTTCTCTTTGACTCACGCCTCCATCTGGACCCCTCAATAGTGGATGAGATTGTCATGGTTTTTGAGATCTTTTGTGGAAAGATGGAGGGAGGGGGAACCATAGAAGTAGAGAGGGGACTGTTTCTAGAGTGTGAGAAAGAATGGTAGAAAGTGACAATAATTATTTAGCATGTGTACTACTGAGTAGTTACGCTATCATTACTTTTGGTAACAAGGATGCAAGTATATGGAATTAACTAGAGACTGCTAATTAGTATCATGTGGGGCGGCAAGTAGCTTAGTGGTTAAGAGCGTTGTGCCAGTAACCAAAAGGTCGCTGGTTCTAATCCCCGAGCCAACTAGGTGAAAAATCTGTCGATGTGCCCTTGAGCAAGGCACTTAACCATAATTGCTCCTGTAAGTCGCTCTGGATAAGAGCATCTGCTAAATGACTTAAATGTAAAAATGTTTACAATAGACTTTGTAATTAGGTTAACAGCTAAATAGCTAAGTAGTCACCGTGGTGTTACACTTTAGAGTGTGACCAGAAGAGAGTGGGTGATTGAGTGAGGTGTGTAGAGAATTCAAAGGGAGTCTGAGCTGTCATCTGTGAAATCAGACAGAAGCACAGTCAGTGGATCTACAGCTGCAGCATTGAGCTCTGTTGAATGATATGTGTGTGTGTGTGTGTATGTGTGTGTGAGATAAAAAGATACAGACAGAGGACAAGACTGAGAGCATGGGAGTGAGAAGGGCAACCTTATCAGATACAGTAATTGCAACAGTACAAAATGTTTAGCCCATCCTCACAACTATCAATAATACACACACATGGGTGACATCACATTTCTTAATGGAAAATTCCACTACAAAACTATATTTTGGTATTTGTTTCATTGGTCCATTGTTGACATAGTCCCAAAATGTTTTCCTTGTTAGCAATCAAGTTTTCAAGATATGTAACTTAGAAAATACAGATATCATCCCCAGATGATGCATTTTGCATCCAATGATGCAAAACGCAGCATTATATGATTATATATGATTTCTGTATTTTGAAAGTTACATATCTTGAAAACTTGGTTGCTGAAAAGCTAAACATTTCGGGACTATGTCAACAATGGACTAATGAAACAGGTACCGAAATATCGTTTTTGTGTGGAGTCCTTTAAGGTTGCATCATCTGGCCTTTCACAGCATGCTTAACCAGATGACCTCTGCTGTTTCTGAAGGTCTCTGCTGTAGCCAAAATCCCCCTCTGCACCTAACTGCTGAATCAGCAGTCCTCTGGCTATACAGTATACAGACAAAATACCGTAGATGTCTGCTGTGTGTCTTTTAATTTTCATACTTCCTAAATTAGCAGGAGCTTCACTGAAGCCAAGATAAAATGATGTAGCTAATGAGAGATCAGTGTACTGATCATCAGTTTACTTACCACCCACCCACAACAGACATGCCACAACAGAACATAACAGAGACCTAAACTAAGTTAAATAACAAGATTCAAAGAGACTACAGAACAGGACACACACCCATCACACACATGCACGTCTCACGCACACACTTCTAATCTCACAGACACACATGCG